TTCAAAAAAGCTTTTGCGGTTAACCAAAATATTAAAAGTAAATGGTATCTAGAAGTAACATCGTTATTAAACAATATCCAACAATATGATTCAGTTAACAACTGTGATAAATTAACCTTGACACAAATGATTTATTCCTAACAAGATGAAAAAGTGAGGTTTATAATGACAACCGCACCAAAGCAAATGAGAAAAACAAACTGAGAACATATCGGATAATCAAATCAGATTTAAACCCTGAGCCATATTTAGTCAAGCTAAAAAACTTTGAACTGCGTAGTGTGCTTACCAAATTTCGTCTTAGTGACCATAGTCTCAAAATTGAAATGGGTCATCATAAAAAAATCCCATTAAACAACAGGGTTTGTGACATGTGTAACAAAGGTCTAATTGAGGATGAAATGCATTTTCTGATGGAATGCAACAAATATGAGTTGCGTACCAAACTGTTCAATAAAGCTAAGGATATGATCCCAGCATTTGAAAATAAACCTGCAAAGAAAAAATTCATGGAATTGTTACAGAATGAAAACATCATTATACCAGTAGCACAGTTCATAAGTAAAACTTTGAAGTCAGGAAGCAGGGTCTTACTTGACATCTTAATGCCTGCTGTAATCTCATATTATTTAGTATTTTAGGAAATTTGTATTATTTAGTAATTTAGTGATTGTATTTTGTTATTTAGAATATTGTTTTTATATATTTTTCCCCTTGTACTTTGTGACCATTTTCTTTCCCTCCGGGGATTGTGTAAGAGTCAATAAGTGAATAAATAAATATATTTAAATTTGTATGTAATACCGTGTCCAAGGTCTTATTCCTAGGTTCTAAATAATTGCTCGAATGCAGTGTATTACAATAATAAAGTTTTATTTTACCTTAGCTAACACTATTCTAGTAAAAGGTACCACAAACACTGACAAATCTGTGACAAAGGATACACATTTTCCCAAGGCAAAACATCCAATGATAATCTATGCGAGTGCTCTTATTCCCTTGCTGAAAATAGATAGTAGGAAACTCAGTACACTTATCCAGCATACATAAAGTTCAATCTGGGTGGCCAACTCCAGTCTAATCTATGATAGCCAAGTCCTACTAAAGTTCTTTCCAGTTCTGATTCCTTTAATCACAACAGTTGGTAGGAATTTCTCTTTATCCCATGATGATTCAGATACACTGTTGCAATGCACACTGGGTAGAATAATCATTACGACTCTGCTTGTATACACCATCACAATAAGTGCTGTACAAGTGTGGATGGCAAGGAAATCTAAAATGATTACAACACACTAAGGACCAACAAATTCACATACAGCACCAAAAGGGATGAATTTCTGGCAGTGCTTGAACTAAATGTGTGGCAGTTTCACTCTCATTCAGGCATGTGACGGGTCCTTATTATTTATGAGCATATGCACCAGGAACAAGATAGAGGGCGCAGTACATAGAATCATACCAGCCGGGTTACATGTATTTAATGGTTCCATAAAAAACAGCTACTACAGTTACTATTTCAAATAAAATGACTGCCAGCCTGTACACCAGAGACAGGTATCTTTCTAAGCTAAGTTGGTCTGATAAAAATTTAAGTCTTACATGACTGGTGGGCTGGTATTATTTTTTACAGTTATGAAAAAGATTTTTTAGTATTTCTATCCCTCTACACTTTCAAGTCAGGATTTGTTATCCCTGAATGATAATCCAACCATGATAAATTAATTAGTCAACACAGTAAATAATTGTCACCTGTTTGAATCTTTCTATGTAGATAATTACTGTGTATTCATCTAGTGTTGGCTGGGATTTAGCAGAGTGCAATGAGCGCATTAAGGGCTGTGGCATTGGATCTGATGTTGAGAACGTTCATGAACTCATCAGAGTTCAATGAGATGCTTAACAAGAATTGGGAAGCAATAGCTAAATTGATACCAGGCACAACAGCAAAACAGGTGAGTTAATTGTCAAGTTTGGATTCTTGTGGTGTTTACTGTCACCATCGTATTGTTTCATAGATCAAAGTTAGTAGATGATCAGATATGTTGCTCACTTATGTCAGTAATGCTCCAAGTTTATGCAAATTTTTTTATGAGAATGATCACTGTCAATATTGCATGTTTACCTAAATTTGTACAATTTGATTCCACGCCTGAATGCTTTAATTCCCTTCAGTACTTAGTTAAGAATTTCAATCAGTCCAAGGCATTTTTAAAAATCATTGTCTTAAAAATGCCCTCAAAATGCTGAAGTTCAAGCTAAGCATTTGTAATAAATATGTGATGTGAATATGATGTCAGACTTGTATTTGACTTTGTGGCATAATTCTATTCAGTATGTCACACACCTAGCATTGCAGAACTTTTTGATCTAAAACATTTAACTTCAGCACTCTACATTGATAACAAAACACAACTGTCTTCAGATCTTCTCTGAATTAGTTACTCATTGCACCATGCTCACTGTTATCCTCATTTCTTTTCTTTTATTACCAAGTGTGCAAAGCGGTATGAAGAATTACAGCATGCAGCCGGAGGGGTGCCTCCTGTGGGTGACTTTTCTAGCCTAGCAGCTCATGGCAGACCCATGACATTGGAAAGAAGCGATAGTGGATTGTCTAGATATGTCAGATCCATGTTAGATCAAAATGATTCCGCAGCTAAATCTGATGCCAGTAAAGGATTGAATCCAAGGAGTAGACCAACATCAGCCAAAATTAAAGGTAGATCCACGATAATTCCTCTAGAGTGACTTTGTAGAATTTCTCGTGCTGATGTGAAAGTACCATGAATTGTCTGTTCTGCCACGCCCTCTATAGTGTCACTATGTTTTTGTGTGGTGATAATTATGCTAATGAGTAGTATGAGTTGCAAATGCCAACCAATAAGAAAGACAGCTTTTGGTCTGATCTGTTCTACGCATATGTGGCTTGAAGTGTAGAATCTTTTGCGCAAGCACACACATACCTTCCTCTTTTGGAAGTGTTCCACTTCCAAACCGAACGCTGTCTTCACACTCGTCTTTTTCCCTATATTTTACATTCAACTTGTCAAAATTCAGTGAAAATAAATTATAGCCAAAATAAAGTATTTTCCAGTGAATGTTTTTAGATACAGCCTGACACCTGCTCACAGCACCAGGATCACTTGGAAGTTGCTGCATGTAATTGTAGAGACCTTGACAGTACCATAGGTGACTGATTTTTGAGAATGAGTAAAGAAACATTTGTATATGGACATGTTTCACAACACAACAAATAGATTATGGCATTATTTACTTGATTTTGACCAATCTTCTGTCAGTTGCAGAAATTGACAATGTTAGGTAAAATGAACAATGATAAATTAAAAATTAGACTTTGAGGCTTTGTATACTCTTAGTAATGGTTTGTGTATAGTGTAGTAAAGCATACACACAAAATTGACTAGTTTGTTTTTGCCTTCTAAGGTGCCATAAACTGCCCTAGTGCTAGTTTGACAAAGTATAGTAATGGAAGAGGAAGTCCAAGTCAGTCATCTCAGCAAGCAAACCAAGCGGACAGTCAAGGGTATGTCAAGTCTTTCCTACATGAGTGTATAAAGTTGCGTTTATTAAGAAATGGAAAACATTTCCTGCTATTTTGTACTTGCTATATAGAACAAAGAAAAAAACTGTTTGATGAGTGTGCAATAAACATTTACACAATGGATGTGAAATCCATATTTAAAAATATTTGAAGAGCACAATTTTTAAAACCACAGATATTAATTAATTTATTTTTTCTTTTATTTTCCCTTTTAATTTTATCTCTTGAATTTTTTGTATTTGCATTTCTTTGTATTTATGTTCTTTACCATACAAAAACCCTCTTAAGGTTTTTAGTAGTGTAATAAAGTTATTATTATTATTGAGTGGTAATTATATGATGTTAGCAGTGTTTTCCTGTTTACTGGTATTCACGATTATATCATTCTTTTGAATTTTCAAAATTGTGAACCAGGGCAGGTGACTTTCAAATTTCACCAGACCTGTCATATCAACCCTGCATTGAAGATTATTTTAATTCTTTTGTTTCCATTCCATGTAAGCACACATTGTTTAGCACAAGATCCTTTTAATCAAATATGGGAGAATTGCATTCAACCTTATTGAGTAAATTTGCTTTTTTGTAAATTTTCAGACCACATATGGTGATTCATGTCTGTGATGAAGCAAAAAACTGTGAGTATTTAACTGTTTCCTTTGAGGCCTATGTTACATGTGCAGATATTCGATCTTGTAGATAGATAAAACTTTTGTTTATGTTGTTGGTTGCGAAAAATCGTAGTGGAACTAACCTGAAAGTGAAGATACTTACAAGAGAAACTAACTGTAAAACATATATACAGTCAAACCTGTGTTAACGGCCACCTGGATACAGCGGCCACCTGCCTATAGCGGTCATAACAGAACAGTCCCTACGAAGTTTACATGTAAAGTACCCCGTATATAGCGGCCACCTGTCTAACGCGGCCAACGGCCAGGCTTCAGCGACCGCAATGATCAGTTGAACTGCATATAACGAACATAGTTGCCGGATGTCTTGCAGCGTACTGTCTTAAACCCCAGCCAACTAATAAGCCCCAAAGATCACAAAGGACAAAGTTAGCACGTTTTCACACCTTTCATTCAAACCGTTGGCTTCAGCAATTATGTTTTATTCAGTTTACCACGGTCAGCACATCGTACCGATGGTTCGGGAAGGCCAAAAACATAATTCAGAATTTGAAAGTGTCCTGATAAAAACATGCTGTCATTAATGTTTTGTCGGAATATGTATACCACAGGAATAACCTGGACAGAAGTGCTTTGTTCAATGAATCGAGCAACCACAACGACCTGCAAGCGTTTTGTGAATCTCCGGGGCACAGTCCCTATGTGGCCGTGGTGAATCGGAATGCCGATCAAATTGATTACTAACAAAAAAACTCACTTGTTATTTAGTATCGATATTTATTCACTTTGAACTCCTATAAATATAGACAATACGCAAGTAACTGGAACTGATAGCAAAAGGAAAAAAATCAACGCAACGGCCATGCCTGTTGTTTTTCCAATCCAAATAAATTATGCTAATTAGCCTTGAGCATGTGCATTCTTGTTCTTCCAGGGTTATGATAACTCAGGTCAAAAAGTAGAGTCGTTTTTGTGTGTGTAGTATCGTCTCGTTGTCCAACTAAATTCGTTCAATTTTTGTTTTCGGTCACTACTGCCTCAGTACATGTAACAATAGATGTTTTTAACAATGATGTTAAATTGAGCTCAGTTCGTCGACCAAAGTCGCTAGGCATATTTCACATGTTTCTATTGTTGCAGTGAAGATACTTACAAGAGAAACTAACTGTGAAACATATATACATGTACGGTACATCTTTTCAAGGCCTACATAACAAAATCTAGACCGTTTTCATTGTTTTTAAACTTCAAGAGAGAAAAATATTTGGATATTCTCATTGATAATGAATTTGTACCCCAGAAAGTACCAGGATGTGTGACCTTTTGGGGGTTATGCATATCCCTAGAGAAATTTTCTATTCTTCTTAACTTAGTAAAGCAAGATTTTACTTGTCCGCGTGATTTGCTGGTTCAAGAAATGAAATATTTTGCGGAGTATTTGTCAGTGGATGCACACCGATGGGAGGAAGTGGATATCTCTGTACACTGTGATGTACAGATCTTTGATTGGCTCATGAGATATGTCAAACGGTTGTCTTCTGATGCCAAGAAAGAGGGGGCGCCAAAGCTAGGTGAGTTGTTGGCAGTTGAACACAACTTGTTATGTTATTCAATGTAATGTTTTTTGCATAACAACACATGCATTTTAGCGAAAATAAAAAAAAAAAAAAAAATGCTGCTGGTGGGAATACAATGTATACAAATTACGCAGCGTATGATTATTACATTTAAGCCAAAAACATGAATTTATGGATTGCACTCTGTGACTCATCTCGATCTTGGACATGACTGGTCCGATCACATTTGAACTTCACACATACATCATACATCTTGGGATACATATGCATGCAGTTTTGTTTACTATTTAACTAACAGGGACTATGTCATGTCTTCTGAGCTTTTGCTATGAAATTAATTAAAAGTCATTTGTTACCTAATTTCAAACTAAATACAAATCTGTCAATGTCATTGAGGTTTTCAAAGTTTGCATTTTGCTTTCTACATAACTTATTTCTCGTATTTTACATACTGTGATTCATCTTTGACTGCATGATTCACAAAACTTTTTGTCAGCTGATGAAATTCATTATAATTCCTCTTGTTGTTTTATTGATGGCATAACCTTTTCACCACCAGACATTCTCATTCTCGCCTACATTTTTCTGCGCTTTTTTTCTTATATTCTTCCATATTTCTGGAAATGAACTCTAATTTTGGAGCCAACAGACAATATTTGAGTGGATTTTCAGTTTTTACTAAAAAAATTTGTCTGTTTTTGTATCAATCTTTTGAAGGAAAGTACAGACTATAAATCAGACTATTTTGGGAATTTGTGATGAAAAGAGAGAACTGGTGGTGAAAAGATTAAGTAACAATTCAAATGTTTGATACAAAACTGAACTTGATAAACTAGTAGTAAGAACTCTGCATAGAACTGAAGATTCATGATATAGATATTAGCAGTCAACCCTTTGTACACAAAATCAATCCTTATACACTATATATGTCATTATTTTATTTACCATAACCTGTACATTATTTTACAGAGCCTGGCAATGTGATTTCTATTCTGATCTCATCTGACTTCTTAAAAATGGATTCACTGGTAATTAACTAGTTTATTACTATGAAAGTAATTTATGCTTATTAGTTTTGTCTTCATGTATAGTTTTAACTAGAACCACACTATGTGATGTGGCTTTCACGATTGTCAAAACTTTAAAAAAATACTAGCAAATATACAATATATGATATAAATGACCATAAGCATATTTGAAAAAAACAACAAGAATAATAAAAAACAATTCAGCCCAAACTAGATCTTACTTTAATCAGATTGCTCATTATAAAATTATTTTTGAACTTGCAGGTGGAGGAATGTATTGATTATTGCCATGAAAACATGAGTGCTATTGTAGCCACTCCATGCAACATGAATTGTATAAACGATAAACTCATAACCAGGTAGGCATGGTATTATTGAATCGTATTTTCTCAATGAAAGAGCTCGTCCAGTACTTATCAACTGTCAATACCAGATTAGCTGCACACCGTCCAACAACTCTAATGTCAAAACATGTTTAATATGCCATATTTGAGTTAGCATCATAGTGAAATTTTTCATAGTGAA